GAAAGCGGGTGCCTCAGCCGGCGGGCTCCACAGCCACCCCGCTGGGAGCCCGAAGCAGCCTGCTTCGCTTCCAAAGCAGAGACCACCTCCAACCATAACGACCACACCGCGCTCCTTGCGCAAGGTCGCCATCGGAAGCACCAGGAGCAAAGCGCTCCTGCGCGGCCGACGGCCTCGCCGCTGCGCGCGGTGTGGGAAGGCTCTGCCGCCCACTGCACAGGGCAGGCGGGTGGGCAGGAACGGGACACCGGGAAGGGGGAGGTCTGCAATGCAGGAAGCAAAGAGGTTTAGCAGCTAGTGCACTCCGTGGCAGCCTCTCATCCCTCCACAGCTTAGCTTCTGCAGTGGTAGGTGAAGGGGGAAAATTCTCCATCTTTCCGAGCTGCTCCCACTTCCTTTTTTTTCTTTTTTCTGTTCAGTTTGTACTTTAAGCCCTTCCTGCTTTATCTCCCCCTTGCCCAGGCCCAGATCTGGGATCTCCTGGGCTCTGTGCGCCAGGGGAGGAGCGGTGAGCCCAGCCCAAGGAGACACTTCTGCTACCACTTAGAGGAGCCGCCTGCCGGCCCCCTCCCCCAGGCCTTCACCACCACCCACACAGCCATCCATCAGCATCGCCCCGGCGGCATCTGGGGGCAACGTGCGACGGCCGCGATGCCTCTGCCGGGGGCCGCCCCGCTACAAGGGAAGGCTGGTGAAAGCCGTGCCCACCGGCGGACGCACCTCCTCGCGCGCGGCCCGCGCCAGCAGGAGCGTTAACCGAGAGGGACGGGGAGAGGAGGGAAGAGGAGGAAGGCAGTAGCGAACGTCACTTTGAAACAGCTCTGAAACAAAGCAGTCGTTAAAATACGTGCACAGATGGATCGTGATGAAGTTGTCTGATAAACTGGAGCAGGGAACAAATTCTGTTTATTTGAAGCAATGAACAAATTTTGCACAAGAGCACCCTTTCTTGCTGGATAAGTGGAGCTGCCTTTGCTCGCGAACCTGTCCTGGGACACAAACCACAAGCAACGCGGCAGGCCCCCACGTGCCGCATTTCCTATGCACAGGACACCGTGGGGCCCAGAACAGCTTCCTCTCCTCTTGAAGCCTTTCACTGCTAGAGATTCTCTTTGAGATTTTACACAACAGCTGATCAAGCTACGCTGTGTGGCTCATCCCAAGCGTGTCTGCTCCTCAGTTTGGAAACGTTGCATTTCGTTATCATTTCCTATTTTGCCCCCTCAGGGCTCAACAATATGGCAACATAAGACAGTTAAGGCCTAAGTGCTTTTAGAACTGAAGAAAAACACTCTTCTAGTGAGGAGGGTTTCTACTGCATTTTACAGTAAGATCAAATGCCTCCACTGTTTTGTTCCTTCACATGGTTGGCCAATCTACAGTAGTCGATAGCAGTTAAATAGGAAAGAATTTATATCAAGCTTTAAAATATTGCTTGCTGCCCACAGTCTCCATGCTGCAAGGCTCCCGGCTTCCTCACACTTCTGTCCTCTTGCAGAGTTTGGTCATGCCCCTATGGCCCCGGGTGGGAGTGCGAATGGGAACTGTGCCGCTGCCTCCTGACACGGTGTACCCCGGCCCAGGCACCTCTCCTTCGGTGGGCATCCGCCACGGGTTGACAGAAGCTTTGACCTGTGTGAGGGTTGGAGGTTCTCGTACAAGCGGTAGGGCCCGTCTGCAGCACCGCTCGGCGCTCGCTTTCATGTGTTCATTTTACTTTTCTGCACTGTCACCCCAGGACTCAAACACACTAGCACCACATTTCATGCATCTGCAACAGATTGGATTGAAAATTCAACTGAAGTTTAATTAGCTTCTTTTTTAAATACTATTCTGCTACTGATTTTTCTCAAATTACTTTTTACAGCCTTTTGAAAAATATATTATTATTTTTTAGTTCCTTCACTAGCTATTGCTAGGCTTTTTCACACTAGCATCGTCTCAAGTGACTTGGCAATACATAAAAAGAACTCCAGGTCTGGTCCTTTAGACTGCTGAGGTTGGGGGAAGGGAGAGGCATATCCATCCTTCAAGATTCAAATAATTTTCATTAAGATTACAGAAAATTCTCCAGGGAGCCAGCAAAATACAGCTTTTCAATATCTTTTGTAGTTATATGTCCTTTTTAGGTGTGTACAGATGCAGCTCTGTTTCATTTCACATAGAAGGAATCCAGCTGAGAACACATTTTGTTATAACTCCAGATGATGTTCAAGAGGGTAAAAGACTCATTTTTCTCAGGCAGTCACAAAACAAGCTGCAGTAAACCAGCAAACCAGCATTCACTCCTCTCTCTCCTGCATTATGCAGATGAACCTAAATTACCTGTGAAGCAGTTTCAAAATCAGTTTAAAAAATAAACACATGAAAAAAAAAGGACACTACTGGACTTTTTCATCTTTCATCTTTAGGTTTTTTATCTCTTAAAAACTGCTGCTTAGGTCAGAGTAGTTAAAATATTTTAATACAGCTGCTCAAGCAATAGTCCATTATAAGTGAAACAGCAAATTTAACAAATAATCAATTGGACAGCTATACTAGCATGAACACAAAATCAGGTTCTAAAGAAAAAAAATTGTGGTAGTTGGCTTTTCTTTAGGCCTAAGATCGCAGTGCATGACCTCATGATCATTGGAGTCAGTGGCAAAATTTTAGCAGATTTTGTGACTAGTAGGTCATGCCTGGGGGAAAAAAAAAAAGATGGAAAAATAAGGAAATGATCCAAACTGCAGCTCCACACCTCAGAATGAAAGCCAAGTTTCGCACCCTTGCTGTCAGATGGATCATGCATCACAGGCACAGCCATAACTTCTGAAATAGCAATTTCTTAAAACACTGTCATCAAAATGCTTCGTTTTCTCCACTTTAACCCAGAGAATTACCACAAGAAAATGAATTAAGGTCAGCCATGCATTGATCAGCTCAGTAAACAGTAATAACACTCAGCACTCATATGGCAGCTTTCAGCTTCAAAGCACTAATGAAGCCTCCCGCTGCCCCCTGCGATGCCGGCAGCAGCAGGAGGGCCTCCCCACATCTCGCCCAAGCAGTGGCACCGTGGCTGGATGGGACCCACAGCTCCCGCAGCCTGACGTGTTGGCTGGGCAGCGATGGGGAGCCAGCCCTGCAGGTAAGGCCAGCCTGGTGCCCGCTCCATCTCCACGGCCATGAGCACAGGCCCTGCCCTCTTCCTGCTCTCCTGGAAGCTGCCCCATGTTCTGGTGTGCCCCAAGCCCTTGCAGTCCTCACGGAGAAGCTAGGGTAGGATTTGCTCTGGAGTGACTGAACAGAGGACAGTTTCATACTGCCACACAGCTGACAGACTTGGTGAAGTTATTCTCCTTGCAGTTCCCAGGGAGCAAGGCTGTGTGTAGGAATCACGAGGCAGCGTCACGCTGGCATGAGCAGCAGCAGCACCACCACCACAGACCAGGCGCAAGTGCCTGGCCCCACGGCAGCAGCAGACATGATGACAAGCCCCCCAGAGCTCTAGACGACCACTCCAAAAGGAGACATTACTCACCACTGAGACAGAAACATGCAGCTCCCCACGTACTCACTTCCCAAAGCAGGTAACTGCTGCACCACCAGTGTGTCGCCAGTTCTTCCAAGTGCCCTTTCTGACTCATCCTCTGCAGAGCGGGTGACGCAGAGCTCAAGCCAGTCTCTCAAAGTTTTGAAATATTTTCTACTGTCCTCCCATCTAAAACTGGAAATTTATCCTCCGATTTTTTTTGCTGGAGGAAAAGAAAAGTCATTTCATCACTTCTGTTTTGTCCCCAGCAAGAAGCAGGACTGTTCCTGGTGAGGTGACATTGATCCAAGGCCTGATTCTCACCACAGTGGGAATCAAGTGGGATTTGGCAGACCCTATTAGAAATTAGTACCATAAAACTGGTATTAATGGGCAGAAGACGTGGAATGACCTGCTCTCCCAAAGCCAAGAAGCAGTAAAGATGCTTTACAGGTGAAAGTCTTGTGAAAGTAAGGCTAGAATATATTATGGTCTCAACTGACCATGCTTGTAAGGACATCTGTGTGTGTGTGTGTGTATATACATACATATATATATATATATATACACATTTATGGGGAGGGGTTATACAAATGTCAGAGCAGATTACAAATAGGAGCTGTTCTTTCCCAATTTTATACATGACTTGAATCATAAGAAATGAACTTACCTCAGTAAACTATCTTCCCTCTTTGTTTATATTAAACCTAGTACATACATCATTTTTGATCCTCTACTGATTTCCAGTGTTGGGGCTCATTTTCTGCGACTTGAGAAATTATGCTATATATCTTTGTAATTCATTGAACTAACCAGCATTTATTTTAATTTAGTAAGGAAACCTTTGGCTGGGTGTGACCAAATAAATACTCTGTCTAAACCAACACCATGTACAAGGCTATAAACCTGTCTCAGAGCTCTAATGATATTGCAAATAAATGAAGCTTCAGTCTTCTCATAAACATAATTCCACGAGACATCTACATTGCCTTTTTTTCAATAGACTAAAACATAATTATAGCACTGTTGGGCAACAAAGGCTCAATCTTGGTAAAAATCCAACCTTCCAGGCTGACAATTGCTTTAGCATGCACAGAAAACATCAGACATATGATGACAATGATCAGAAAATATGACAATAGCAATGAAACACATCACAAGTCTGGATGACTGAAGATAAAACTTCTTTGGGAACAAAGGGCACAAATCTTGCCACAAGGTTATGAAGAGTTTTGCCACTGATTTTGATGCAGAAATAATCAAGAACTTAGATTTAAAGTAAGAAATCTAACAGGGTATCTCCCCTGCACATTTTTATGATGAAAGGAATGGCCAAAGTTAAACTGAGTACCTATGACTCAACTCAAACTGGAGATAGGAATTAGTCACAAATGTATTTCTTATCAAGGAAGAAAAAAGCTGCCAAAATCTTTGTGGAAATCTGTTGGCGACTTTGGTACCTCCCCATAGTTCCTGCCTACAGGCTGCTAGTTCCCAACACTGAACACAACTAGTTTCTACTACAGACAGCAAATTTGATGGTGCTCAGCTCTTCAGGAAGCACCCAGCTACCTCGTGATCAGACCTCTGTGTGGAAGAGAACACAGACCACTAAGGACCATGATTCACCCAAGTGAGAGCAGCTCCCTGTGAAGGATGGCACAGTTCAGTAATAGCTTTCTTGGTATGAAAAGCATTCTCATCACTAAAATATGCTTTAGTACTGCTTATATGTATTTCTAATTCAATCTTTTATGCAATATCTTGAACTATGGTACAACGGTAATAACATAATTAGTATTTTCACTAGCTAAATTATAGCGTTGACTGCAGAATATAGCATGGTAGCATCAATATTAAGCATTAGAGAAAAATGACATCAATAGTTTTAGTACAGTCATGAGAGACATTGTAATTTCCTCTTTCTCTTGGATTCCTTCAAATTTTATCACATGAGAAAACTCACACAATCCACAGGCTTTTTAGTTCAATTCAAATTATGAAAATCAGCTTCTCAAAGATTTCTTAGGTACAATTTGAAAGTTCTTGAATAATTTTCATTTCTGAACATGGTATTAGTTATAAAGAAGTGAAAACCTGCTGTATCTGTCTCTCTCACCTGAATTAAGCCCTCCAGCACGTCTGTAAGTTAATAGAGGAGTATAACAGATAACTCACAGCTAAGAAGAGAATATACACAGTGATGAAATCGTCATCCAAGCCCATAAAGGGAATCTTATGTCAGTGCAAGTGACTGGCTTTACAGTCTAGGGCTAGTCCATACTTCCTTGCTACCCTGTCCACACAGTGAGATCTAAAACTGAAGCAAGTGAGATACGCAACCCCAAGCAGCCCTTCGGACAGGTAGAGGCGTGATGGGACTGCAGGCAGCCACCTCTCTGCGCTCAGAAACCAGAGGGCTCTAATTAATCCTCCCTGTCTGTGGAATTCAAACCCCCTAGACCAAATCAGGAACAGTGGGGATCTGCCAGCACCCCATCCACCTCCTAATGACAGTAACTTCATGCTTTGCTTTGTGAGATTCATTTCCTCCTTCATCATTTCCATTCACTTGCTTCTACATTTTGTTTGTTTCTTAAAATGAAGATCTCCGGCATATTGATTGCTTCAGGTAAGATAAAGCAATCTCTTGGTAAATCCCTGGAAACGCAGACCAGATCATACATGTGACTATTGAACTTCTTGAATTTCCTCTAGGTAGAAGCTCTTAGGTTCTGGTGGGTCTGATAAAGAAGGGAGCTTTTGTACGCCATTTAATTCATCCGCTGAAGGGAAAAATTATGAATTCGCTTGTTCCTTCAAGGCCCTAGCTTACACCTGTAGATATAACAGCATATGAAGTAACATAGACAAAAATCATGTCTTGGGGCCCTCAGAGAAGATCTGCAAAGCCTTGAATGCAAAAGCCTCCATGCTAGAGTCAAAGGAACCGATAAAATGATCTTTCTGCTTAAATCTACTTCTGCTCTCAAGGCCAAAGTGCTGGTTTACTTTTAGTTTGTGTGCCTACTCTGTGAGAAGAACTCTAACTTGAAACTCTTCCCCATCCTTCAGCTAAGAGGGAGAAATGCAGGCACTGTTGGGTGGTAAGGTGAGACAGACATCCAAAGGTATCAGGCTCAGCTCCAAAATGAGTCTGTTCTTCATTATCCCTAGTACCGCAGCCACAAAATAGCATGAAAACAGCATTTACACAATGAATTAAAATGCAAATCTATATTTTATTCTATGAAATTGAGACAAACGACACATAGCTGCAGCTTGCCAAAGTAGCAATTACAGACATTAATCTAGTTTTAGACGATGGCTTAAGCCAAACAAGGGATGAGATAGGAACACTCTGCATCAGACCTAGTGAAGCACTACAGAGGAAAAAGTAACGCTGGCCCTAGCAGTGCAAGTCTAAATACGAATCCATGCTCAAGCTGCTGCTGAGGCCGGCGCAGACCCGCACTGCCCTGCGCAGGCTCCGGGGACGCTCCAGCCCCAGGGGCCTGCGTGATGCCCCGCAGCAGCCCGGGGGTCTCTGAGCGTGGCTGAGAGGCCCTGGCACGTCACCGATGGGATGTGCTCCCTCCTGGAGAGGGCCCTGTGACAGGAGGCCAAACGCTTCCGTTGGCCTAGGAATAAACTGCATAATGGCTATAAAGACATATTTATGCTAGGTCTGGTTTAGAGGGCATGCTGCACAATCAGATCACTTTGAAGATTTGCCTGGTGCAATCATTGCCTTTGTTGGGAGTCAGAAAGAGGTTGAAAAGACTGTGAACAGACTGTTGAGGCACTGATACTTAACCCTGTGGAATCCTCACAGGGTAGCGCAGTTTGGCACAGCGGGAGCGCATCCGCCGGGGCCTGCAGCCTCTTGGCTCCCTCCACACAAAACGTGCACGTTAGCGACGTGTGTGTGCAGCCCCCGAGCGCACGGGGCAGCTGTGAGCGCACAGCTACGTGCCCTACCCTGCCTCCCCTCTGCACCACAACTGCCCCAGCCCTGGACAGCATTTCTGCTCTCCTAGGGGAAATAAAGGCTTCAGCTCCTGTCAAATTCTCGGGAAGTCCTTGCATTACAGTCTCCATTAGAAATGGGTAGGATTTCATTTTTAGGTATGCATAATGCCTGTGCAAAAATTCATTGGGCATCAAGCCTAGTGAAAAGTGTTCTTCCACTAGTGCCCTAGCATTAATAGCATCAGAATGTGAAAGCCAAAAGGGAAAACATTTGGTTCAAGTTAGTTCCAAGAGTTCATTCTGGTGTGGGCTAAGGGAAGAACCCAGCAGAAATGGTTTCTATAGCAGCATTCATGACACCAACAGTCCCCACTGCAGTTAGGACTCCACACAGCCAGACGTGCTGCATCCCCTGCTCCTCCTGCACAGCAGCTGAGAGCACCAAGGACCTCACAGCAGGAGCTCAGGCCCCTGGGGAATTAAGCCTTAGCACAAGATAGCCCATCAAGGCTTTTGTAAACTGTTGAAGATGCTGACAAGAATAAAAGAAAATAGTAATTTAGAATTTGGCAGAGAAAACCCACTCTAAATCATTTCCAACTGCTGTAAGTCTTTGCTCCTGTTTTACAAGTAATAGAAGAGACTGTTTTATAACCTTGCTCATTTAATACATTTAAGAAAGTAAGACAAATTTCTTTCCTGTAGAGGTTTTCAAATATCATCTTCCCACTGTGGTAGCCATATTTCAGCATCCCATTCCAAAAACCTTGTTTATTACTCTTTGGAGGAAAAAAAAAGTCACATATTAAGAAGATAAAAATGGTTAGAAGAACAACAACAAAAAAAAGTAGGTGACAATATCATATTAATGAATACTAGTAAGGTATATGTTGCTCTCTCCTACTATGGTACATCAGAGGAATAAGTAGAATGTAGAAGTCTTTTCACATTATACAACAGGACAAAAGTATTCCCAGAATATCCTACAGAGAAGCAAGAGTTAGTACCTCCAATACGCTCCAGGTATGTGTGGTCTGCAAGTTCAAAACTGTCCGAGTTCCGGATGGGTTTGAACTCAGTTCTGCAGCAATTCCTCTTCTTGAAGAGAACAGGACAACCTTAGTCTCAACACACAAATCAGTGGGAGTCAAGTATCTTCAGCTTTACTCTCTGTTTAAAAGTTTGCTAACAGTGTCCCTGCAGCTGAGCAATTCTTGACTCTTCCTGAGCCCCACTGAGCCAAGTGGGGCAGCATCCCGCAGGGTCCTGCCGTGGTGCCCCTGGAAGCCCCGGGTTCACCCTTTCCCTTCCAAGAGGGACAGAGATATATACACCCAACCACGCATTGCTCCATCCCTCCACAGTGAATCCTGCCTTAATGATGAGGACTTGTGCAGATGTCTTATCCTTAACACCAATGTCTCATGCAGAATATGTTCTTTTTGTCACAATCAGATCTCATTGCTTTTTTATTTTGTAGTTATGCACATGTTTGGAAATGCAAAATCAAACCACTTTCTGAAAGACAGTGGTAGGAGATATCTCAGGACGGAATGAATTTCACAGTTAGAAAAAGCACTTTTTCCCCTCACCAAGGTGGGGAAGCTCTGATCAATACACAAAGGCAAAAGGAGAAAATGGATAAAGTATTGAGAAGGCTAAAATTTGAATGAGATAATCACAAACATTTCTTGTAGAAGGAGAATGAAATGACTTGATTCTACAAAGTTACTGTGATAAACCATCGCCCCCGCCTGAAATTCCAGATACATACTGTAGTAATTGGTAGCGATGTTAGAAGAAAACAAAAAGGAGTAAGAAATTATAATAACTTTATAAAGAACAAAGTATATCTTTCTGGAAGTGCTGAGGTCTTTCAGTGGATCACACAGTAGAATGAGATTTCACAATCTAGGAAGAGTTTTAACAGTTATATTTGAATTGCGGTCATAAAAGCATAAATGTGAAATACAGCTCTAATAAAAAAATCAAAGTTTATAAAACTGGCTGATAACTTTCCACCCTTTCCAGAAGAATCTCGGAATATCCAGGCGAATAATACCTGAAAGAGAAATGGTTTTTGGGCATTAGACTACAAAACGTGTCCTGTGCTAAGTAATGAAACTCTATTTATATTTGTATTGATTAGAAAAAAAAATCCAAGCATTAAACATTGGTCAAGGAATTCTGTACTTACTCCCCAGCAGTGCTTAAGAATCTGCTTTTCACCTTATGTTATTATTTATAGATAAAAGTCAAGATTTCAAAAAATGCTTAGCTTCCTTTAGGGCATGTAGATACCTGGATAGTTTTTGGATAGCCTAAGCAACTAACAGCATTGTCTTTATTGGGAAATGTAGATGTTAAGTTCTTGAGAAACTATGGCCTTTAACATAACAGCCTGAACACATGCATGAATGTGGAGCCATAGGCTGCCGGGGGAGAGTATTCTCGCACTGCCCATGAAATACAGGCACACAGCACAAACATGAAGCTCATATCAATGCAAGTAACATTGATTCTGGAACAAAATTCTACTACAATCACCTTCTTTCTCTAATGCTAGCTCACTGTGGAGATTTCCAATAGATTTTCTCTAGGGCAGAGCCCTATGGTGCCATTACTGACTGGCTGCCATCCAGCTGGGTTTCCAAATGGACCAGCTGTGGACTTCCAACACACCAATGTCAGCAAAGCTGTATTTAGTTTTTGTTTTCCAGGTTAAACAGAGTACCTGAAATTTATTGCTGTTTTATTCTAAAAATATACATCACACTATAGTCCTGCTTTTGCAGGCATGTAAGTTGTCATCTCTGAATGCTGGAAGCTTTAACTATAAAGAGAAACACTTCCACACAATGCATGCCTAAAACGTATTTAAGCAGAAATCCCTGATGTTTTCACATTAAGGAAGACCCTTTCTTCTTGGTGATTTTCATTTTCTGGAGGATTATGGTTTCTGCATAATGTATTTCTTTTTAAAACTACTACTAGTTTTCTTGTTGTAAAGCTAACTTTTCAATGCATTGTTATTATCCTGAGTCTGCTAAGAGTGTGAAACAACAGTTCTCCAGGACAAATCCAGAGCTGGAGTTTATTACAGCAGCTTTGCCTCAGGGAGCGGAACCAACATCATTCTACCACACACAGGAGATGCTTGAAGGGGTCTTTTTTTTTATTACATCACAACCTATTTGAGTAACTTTGTTTTGTTTACAGAAAAAAAAAAAGCATCTGTACCACAGATAAACATTAATTATATCCAGAAAAGTGTAAGCAAATGTCCCTTTTCCCTCTGAAGTATCCCTATTTGCAGCTGCAGAATAAAGTTTCTTTATGATTTTGCTTTTGTCCGTTCAACAGCTTTGACTGACTTATTTTTATGGAGACAAATAGGGCTTCATTTTGCATGACTGAGTTCGTGGCTACTATTAGCTAAAGAACTCCTGCTACAATTAAAAATGATCATGCAGAATTTCAGAGCCTGTAGAGGGAGTGCAAGAGTACAACATGCTTCTGAGGTGTTGATGGAAGTAAGGACTGGTAAATGGGTATCTACAATCCAGAAGGACATTTCTCTCATTATTACAATTTAGGATGGTGACATTTTGACTGTAAGCTATTTAATAGTGCTTCTGTATTCATTAAGGGCAAAGTTCACCTTGGTGCAGACAGCTGGTGTATGGTCCTTTTATATAACACTTAAGCCTCATGATGAGGCTGGGGGCAGGGGGAGGAAGGGCAGCTGGGGCAGAGCAACCGCGCAGCAGAGCCCCTGGATGCTCTGCTCAGGAAGAGCCTCCAAATGCGCTATTTGTATCGGCTCTTTAGGGAGGTCAAGGATGCAACCAAAGATCTATGAGCACCTGTATTTTGTGGCCTGGGAAGCCCACAGATAAGCAACTGTGAAAGGGTAACCTTCCCCCAAACCTTCACAGTTATGAGCAAGGTTGTGCTGAAGCCCCATGGTCTGTCTGAACAGAACGGGACTGGCTTCCCTTCCAGGCTCCCTGCAAGAGCCTGATATAGGGCTTTGTTTAGAGACAAAGAAATTTGATCCCAAGACAATTAAAAAGCAGAAAGTGTTCAAAAGTACATATCTAACTTTTGTGGTTAGTGCTGCAGTTACTAAAGGGGCAGCTAACCAAAGGTGACACTGCTTAATAAAAGCAAAATTCACATAAAGAGTTAATCTTGTACATTAAATGCTTGCTTTCTGATGCTTCTGTGAAGAACATCTAACAATGCTGTAAACATGAGCCGTTTAGACTTTCCATACCTCACTATTTCCTCTGGATAGCAGTTGTTAATGGCGTTGATGTACTCCTGAAGAAGTGACCCAGGCTCCGCTTTAATCTCTTGAACCTTTTTAAGACCACCGGTTGTCACAAAGAGACGCCGCGCTTTGCTGTCATGGGGCAGCACCTATACACAAAGAAATACATCATAAAAACATGATTTTTTAAAAGGAATCTTTGTGCTACTAGACTCAAATATTGTTTATTTGTTTTCAATTCAGAGGACAGATAAAATGAAACACATCGTAGGTGCAACTTCTGTAATGACTATTATATTTTCACATGCAGTTGGGCAGAAAAAAAAAGAAAACATAAACCAGCCCTTTATTGTTTTAACATAATTTAACATACACTTAATACATAACACATATTAAAATATTGAATTGAATATTTATATTTATGTAAATAATATTTCTTAAATCATTTTTACAAAGAGAATATGATTGCAGAGATTAAATAGATAATAAAAACACAATATGAACATGGAATAACAACAGCATCTGTTCCACTTAAACCAAGTTATTCAGGTCTTTTATGTCAATTCCCACAGTTTAATTGTGGAGCAGAATTTTATATCATCATAATGATCTAGTATAGATTATTGCATGAAAACAATACTGAGAATTCTTGCAAGTGAACAATGCAGCCTTGAGGCATTACATGCTACTATTAAATTCCTAGATATTAAAATCACACAGCACACTGTGTAGCCATGGAAGCCTTCTGCAAACACACACATCCGCACACCCGGAGCAGACCCGAGAAGTTTGTGCAGCCAAGGGGGATGAGAAGCAGAAGCGACCAGACAATGCGCGCGGCGCTCCCGGCGCGACGCCAACGCGCCGTTGTGTCCGGAGGACACGGGAGGAGGCGGGGGTGGGCCGGGCCGGCGCGATGACAACACGGAGTCCGCAGGCCCACGGGCTGCGATCGCATAAAAGAGATAATGCAAGATATCAGCTGTGTCTAGAACAAAAAACGTAGATGGGTTTAAAACCAACTCTGAGAGTTATGTGCTGCGTACGCAAAAACACTCTGTAAGCGTTCAGACTGGGTGGACAAATTAAGTCATAAATTTGACTGGGTCTATGGGTGAAACAGAGCCTTCAGGGTGGACTGGACTGCCTAAAAGGATGGATGAAGAGAAGGACAACTGTCCTGTCATGGGTATCAGCCAACAGTCTTAATTTCCCTGGCACCTCCAGGCTGCACAAAATTGAGCAGCAGGTAAAGAAACCCAGGGGCGTGCGGAGCCCTCTCCATGAGGCACGCGCCACATGAGGGCCTTTCCGTGCTGGGACCTGGAAAAACAGCTGTTTCCACACACCTCCCATGGCAGGAGCTGCCAAGGAGGCACCAGCAGCGGCAGCACCCGGCCCTTCCAGTTACTCAGTGCTCAACTCATGGATGCTCCCAGTCAGCACACAGGAGCAGAACGCTCTGGGTTCTGAACAAATCACTTTGTTCAGGCTCAGCAAGAGGAGCAGACAGACCAAACTGCAGCAATTTAGTCAGGAATATAAACAGTATTGCTTTCAGATCCGTGGTAATCAGAGCGTTTCATGCAGCCATTTCCAGGAAGAACACATCACCAGGACAGCCTCACTTCACATGCTGGTAGATCGTGCCATACAGTATGTCAGAAAAGAAAGGTCTATAGCTGAGCAGGATTCCCAGCAGCTGGTAAACATAGCAGACACCAGAAATCTCCTGATTAATCAGCAATTCTTTTCATAATCTGAATTATCTTGGTTAAAGTGTATCACTTTCTGCATGCTGCACCCAAATAGGCAATTTGGCTAATAATAAACAATTTCAGATTTGAGAGGGATGAGAAAAGAATCGATATTCCTGCACTTCCTTCATTATTGGAACTGAAAATTATTAAGGACAGAAATGGGAAAACCTTTGTCTTACATCACTGTAAAATACCTGACTTAAGTCACTCCTGTACAGACCACTTGTACTTGGTCTAAAACAGATGTGACTTGGATTTATATGACACATTGGCTCAGCAAAAATACTTGCATGAGGCTTAGTATTCTACTCAATCCCAGAAGCAAGGAGGAAGAAAAAACCTACCTTGCTTATAAACAACTGTTTTTCCTCTGGCCAAAACGAATTATGATAAGTTCCAAATTAAAAGTATCTTGCTGTTTCAGACAAAAGAGCAGGATGGTCCAAGCTACTTCTAAAAGGAATGCTTGGGGATCCTGAGAGAACAACCACCTTTAGGGATACTTGGTGTTTGGAATGGTGTTAACTGCTTTGCTAAATGGAAAACAATTAACCTGTTACCTACCAAGCAGAGCTCATTCTTACCTTGCTGAACTGCCCAACAATATGCTTCAGAATATTGGGAGGAGCATCATGCAGCAAAGGTTCCAGTGCTGGAAGATATGTGCATTTCTGCAGGATGTTCTTTAAGGCTTTTTTAGTCTATTGATATGCAAAATAAAATTTTGCTGGTAAGACATCAACAAAACAATGAGAATTCACATTACATATCACTAAAGTCTGATCAGAAAAGCAAATTGATCAGAATTCTCAAAGAGCAATTTCTGAACAAAAACTATGATATCCATCAGGTTACTTAACAAAGAATCAATTTTCTACTTAGATTTATTAAACCTCAAAACCTACAGTGCATCGTAGACTTATTATGTTATCTACAGTCAAAGAATGGCAATTTTCCTTTTACTACAATGGAAGCAGAAGCAGGCCCTTTATGTAAATTGAAGTGCTGTAATATAATAAGAGATCTAAATCAAACCACAGTTTAAAATACCATATTTTAGAAGGGGCTTATTAGGAGAGCCTGCAGGTCTGGGATAGCAGCACAGTGCACAGCCATCCAGGAAGAGAGGGAGAGGGAGAGAGATAAGGAATTGCGTATCGGTGCCCAGATTCTGCATAAGGGACAGGATGCTGGATACTATGGGATTATAGGTCCAGCCTTGATATTTTGGTGACCACTTAAAATGACTATGCAAAAGTTGCCTTCTTATTTCACAGCTCTGGAATTTATCGCACTCCAGTGGAATATAAAAGGGAGCAGTACAAAATGGGAAACCATATCCTGTCATATTACACTGCTAAATCAGTTCGTGTACTGCTGCACAAAAATAACAAATTCCGACTCTACCAACTCTTGTGCTAGGAAAGCCCTAGATGTGAGTTGTTCCAAGCTTCCAAGAACAGGGCCTTGATTTTTTGTTACTGTTTTATTACAATACTGTGAACAATTTTGCAAGCAGTGCAACACTTTGTACAAAAGACTATACTTCCTCAAAAGGAAAATACTTAAAAAATGGACAATTACGAGAAATTACAGCATTTCTGGGAGAAAGCAGGTCTGACATAAACTGACAGAAGAAGGAACTGAGGGACTATGCAGCTATGGCTGTGTCATATGATTTGGCAATATGCACACACATTAGGACCAGCCAGGCCTAATAAATGGTCCCAAACCTCTCAGGCCCTCCGCACCCAGGAAATTTGTCTCCGCAAGCATCAGTAAAAATGCATACCATTCAGCACTTTACAAGAACTTATATCTGTTGCTTACAACAAATACTGCATATTGCAGATATGGTGAATATACTTGCTTTCACTTGAAGATCTTCTGAACTGCGTGTGTCCATATACATGGAAAGCAGGGTGGGTAACACATTTGCTACTGCCACGGCACGTGCATGCTCAGGAGTGTGCCTGCCAATCTGGCCCAAGGCCCAAGCAGCTGCTGCCTTAATATGATCTTCATTTTCTTCTATCAAACAAGCACACAGTGGTGGTATTCCCTGTAGTATTCATCAGAAACACAACCTTCACAAATCCAGATCAGGGAAGGACAACTTTAAACTGACACAGATCTTTAGAAAATGTTTCTCTATTTACACTCTTCCTCTAGAACAACCTGTAAGAGATCATATGCTAGTGCTGTCTTTTTTTTTTAACATCATGACCAGCAAGAATTTTAATAGTCTTTTCAAACCCAGTTGAAAGACAGATTGAAAGACAGTTGAAACACAAATTCAATACTCCAAGTCAGAAGGCAGTTTGAGCCAGCACAGCAAGGTTAAAGGTTCGAAGGAATACATGACACAATTCAGGCTGTATTGAGAGTAAAGGTTTTGGCTTTGTCACACAGAAAATACACCAATTCTAGTGCTTATGAAGCTATAAAAGAGGTCTAAGATCAGAAGGGCTCAATCATTAAATTATCTAACTCTTTTTTAATGCCATTATCCACAGCACTAAATTTCACCTCACAAACCCTTTCTTGAATACAGCAACTCATGTTGGCTCATCCAATAACTTTCAGAAAGATTTGTTTGGGAGACCTCAGGGGATATTTCACTTTCTTCCATCTGTAACGGAAGTTCTGCTGGTTCCACATCATAGTCTTTATCCTTTCTCCACAGGACTATAGAGCCATTGACGGCTGGTATTTTACATCCAGAAGGTACTTAAACAGGAGCCGTTTCACAATAGTTTAGGTACAGTAACCCTAACTAGAAGACGGTTTTCATCCCCTGCATCATTTTTGAGTCTTTTCTACACCCTCTTCAGTTTTTTTCAGGATTATTTTCAAACACAGGGAAGATAAGGGTACACAGTATCCCACTGTGGTATCACTAGTACTAAAGATAGATTAACCTCTCTCTTCTATTAATATTTCATCATCCACTCTTTAATACATCAAAGGACTGAACTGTCATTTTTGCCACAGCTCTGCAGCACAAGACTACTGAAGTGGGGGGTTCATTTTGACTCCCTCCCCCAAACAGTTTCCCCAGTTCATCCTTTCAGGATACAGTACATCTCTACTCCAAATTAACTATGTCTTTAAAGCTTAGCCTCTCAGATGCGTGACTGCACCTGGTTACGTCAAAGCGCGTTCCTTTCAAATGGGCCCAGGGCAGGAAGACATGCCCTCGGCATTACAGCCCACCCCACAAAGCTTGGCTCCATCTGGAACAAAAATTTTAAAAACTGCAATTTGGATCTGTTTGGAGAGGCGGAGGCATTTATAACAATCTTGATATGAAATATGAAATTCATGAGAGTTTACATGCAGGCCTACAAATCTCTCACTGCACTTCCTTTCAGTTCTAGGTGCAACCATTAGTATTTTTTACTTTTTGTCAGTTAGGTGCCGTTGTATCAACTTAATCCTATATTCATTCCATGTAATTTGAGGCATTTAACAGCGAAAGCACATTTGTTCTAGGCATCCCTATCTATTGTCAGCGAACAGACACAGGCTCCTCCAAGGAAAAGGGACCTCCAGACTGGAATGAGACAGAAGTGTCGTTCCCCAGCTTTTCAAATGCAGAAGGGGGAAGGATTTTTGATAATTTCTGCCCTTTGTGCATAATTATTAATGTTAAGTCATAGTGATTTCTAATTTTTACCTTGCATTCCTATTAGACAACATTTCTGTTCCTCAGTTTTTATTGTTTCATTGTTTCCATTCAGACAGCAAATTTCAAAAGCCTGACACAGTGTAAAAGTGGGCCAACAATGCCCAGTGAAATTACTTCCTTTCTCCTGGCATTTTGTAGTCAGCATTATTCATACCAGAATATTATGCCAGGCACTCATTTCACCTATTTCAGGTATTACAAATTCCCACCTTTCCATATTATTGCCTAGCAAATTTATTTAGACGTGAAAATGTATAGCACCAAGCTAAAATCATTTGAAAGCTTCTATCACTTGCACGACTGAATCAAACTATGATACGTTTGAGAAACCAATATTTACAAATCTTTGCAAGTCTGAGCACTTCTGTTGCAAGGATATTCTAGCAGCGTGAGCAAAGTCATGCTAAGGCAATAAAAATGTGCCATTAAAAATTCTTCTTTCAAAATTGATTTTGATTTAGCCAAAATTAAACATTTTATAAGAAAACAGATCATAGAAATTCACTGATTTATTTTTTCTAGGCTGAGGATTCATCCCTTTGTGAATGGATGTTCACAAACTAACCCACCATAACATCTTACGAAGGTTTAACTTCGTAAGGACCCAGTTTGATCAGCTGTGACATACTTTCAGACATGGTAAGTGACGACATTATTAAAAAGTGCATTTATCAACAGAATGTGCATAATTCTGTCTCCAAATACGTGCTCTGCCTGTGTGAATTTGTGTCTTTTTCTGAGAATACACTGAAGAATTATAGGAAGAAGACAAAGTAAGAGCTAACCTTGGAGATGATCACTGCCATTGACAGATTCTCCGAATGAGCTGCTACGTAGCCAAGCATCATGATGCCAGGCAGCCTGACAGCCCCTCTGCAGCTGCCAATACAATCAATTATAGCAGCAACTCCACCTGCATTTACTATAAGCTGTGAAAGCTGAAAAGATAAATGAAGGAGATTAGATAGTGTGAAGTATCTACAGGCATAAAGCACTACATTACAGGAGTCTTTAACTGTATCGGCCCTGATTTACAAAATAAAGCTGGAACGAGATTGATGCATCACACTCATTGCTGGGCACCGAGTGCACCATGAAGTTCCCAGCAATGAAACTGCTTTGCTACACTGTTTGTGATCGACTTTGCAGCAAGGAAATCAGGATTGCGGATTCCTGAGGACAAATGGCATGGAATGACATATTCTCAACTCCATGAGTATCCACCAAAGAATCATGCAGTGAAAGTCTACACGTGAATGACTTTAAAGATACACCTACAGAGCCATGTCTTCCTCAACACCATTGCCTACTTATTTTCTGTGCCAACACGAGGCTACCTGTGGAGGGACAGAGGGAAAGGCCCTTTCTGGCACCTGCACGCTGGATAACCTCCGCTGCTGCCTAACAGCCCTTGTGGATCCCCCCGCTGAGGTGTGAAGCCAAGAACAACTGTCAAAGCTGCTCAAAACCAGCTGGGACTGTGCCCTTTGCCATGTTAGAGCACCCTAAAAGAGATATCCAGGGAACATACTTGATGGGCAAGGAAGTTTCCCCCAGAATGTCAAACCCTAGCCTGGCTATAAATTATAATCAGGTCTATATTCTTTGATGGTGGCTCTTTAAATAAGGCTATCCTACATGTGTTTTTCTAAATGATATCACTTCTCACATCACTTGAGGGGCAGTAGTGGACTACATATAATATCAACAATGCATAAAAATTAACATGATTTCATATTGTTATCATTTCCAAGTATTTTTTTACAAAGTTTTCAATACAAAAGAAACACATTCTTGACAGAACTAAATGCACAAAGCTTAACCATTTGGAGTTTCAATCCTGTTGACTTCTGTGAACATGAAATCCACTGCAGCCTCGAAGCCACTAAAACAGGATTGTTTTATTCATGAGGCAGCCAGATGAAATTTAAAGCTATTACTTAGGAAGAACCGTTCACACCACTGCCAACTGCAGCTGCTGAGGGCCAAGTCCCACGTCTGCCCGCAGCCCCGTGCACTTCAAACCAGAGGGCCCCAGCGCAGAGCCAGTCCCTGCTGCTGGGACCGCCCGCCCTTTGCTCTCCCCCAGCTCCTGACCTCTCCGTGAGTTTCCCTGCATGTGCGGCTGCCGA